CCACTCACCTCAGCCTTCCAAAGGCGCGGGATTATAGGCTGAGCTACCGATTCCGGTTGTATATTTCAAGTGCCTCAAAAAAGCATTGTTGAAAGTCTTAAACTAATTGCAGTATTTCTTTTTACAACTCGTTTGAGTCACAAACATTTTGTCACAAAAGTGTTACACATTATGACTATTGTCATAAAACAGTCTAAAAAGAAAATCTGGTACAGAATTAAGGGGCAAAGCTGAAATTACATTTTTTTAACTTTAGCACTTCTAAGAACCTTAAGAAATGCCAAGACTTGATTAACTGAACAAGTTCAATACTTAATGTCTTATCACAAATATCAAAGTTTTTAACTAAGAGGGAAGACATGGCAGATAAGAATAACTTTGGGGCTATTTTCAAACTGTCATATACAAGTCCCATTATGATCCTAGCCCTCAAAATTCAAGGGACATCTCTATTAACAGTCATTTCTACAGCAAGCCGGCTGCTGAGAGAGTGTATCTCTCAGGTGTGCTTAGAAAGCTGAGAAACACTGAGGTAAACAGTGTTCTAGAATGCCTAGTCAGCAATAAAATTAAAGATGCATCTCTTTGAAATACATTCATTTGTGAAGACTTCTTTAGTATGTACAGATGCCAAACAGTTTGGGGGTGTTTTTTTGAGTTGGGAGCCTCACTCCATCGCCCAGCCTGGAGTGCAGTGGCACACTCACAGCTACCCCAGTGTCGACCTGCTGGGCGCTGACGATCCTTCCGCCTCAGCCTTCCAAGTAGCCGAACTACAGGTGTGCACAACTATGCCTGGCTAATCTTTTATTTATTGTAGAGACGAGGTCTCGCCAAGTTGCCCGAGTGGGTCTTGAACCTGCAGGCTCAGGCAATCCACTCGCCTCGGCCTCCTAAAGAGATGGGATTACAGGCTGAGTAACCAAGCCTGGCCCCAAACTGGTTCTTATAGGCTTGAAGTCTTCCCCTCTCAAACCTTCTTAAAAGTAGTTTTTCAAGGGTAAGAAATTCACTGAGGTCTCACATATGCACAGAGAATATTCTGCGTGTCAATAGCACTAGGCACAGTGTTAACACATAGAATGCAGGGACCACAAATTGCTGGTTAACTAGTTCAGTTATGGGTATTCAAAATACCCACTCCTGATACAACTATCTGGTTTCATGAACCAATTATTCAAGAGGCCCAAACTCAACCCATGCTGTCACTGCATTTTTTAATAAGGAGAATTAAATGTTTCTTTTCAAATAGGAAAAATACTAAAAACTGGGTACACTTCCACTGAATCTCTTTTACTGTCAACCTTTCAAATCAAAAGTTTCTATCACTGTATCTCCCTGGGTCTATCAAAACACTTAGAAGAAAAGGCCTGCCTGAATAATACGCAGTATCTTCTTTTTCCTATAAAGCCATTCAAAAACTGAAGAAATTTATTATTCTCCTTTACAGCTCAGATTATGTCTCCACAGTAACCACGGTGAATAACAGCGTCCACACCTAAAGAGGAGTCAACCTCCCATCTAGCCATGTTCTGCCTATGTGCTTGTTTCTGTGTTCAAGTAAGGTTTTGTTTTTCTACCTTAAAAAAAAACCTCAGTAACAATAATGAATACAACCGCACTCTTTTTAATGGCTGTAAGCTTACAGGATTCTTAAATGCTTAATCCATCAAACTATGAAATAACTGCAGCTACATACACAGTCTTAAATAAAAGATCAGGTTTAAAATCCAAAGTACAAAGACCATTAAAAACATTTATTTGCCAAATCCACTGAGAAACTAGGAGCAACTTAACAGCTGTCTAAATAACCACAAAATATTAAAAAACACTTCTGGCTCCAGATAAATGACATATGAAGTGAGATACAGCCTCCTCCAACAGACATCTCATTTGTTTGCCTAGAACCATTTATATTTCATTTAAGCCAGCTGGTGTCTCCGTTTGCAGGCATGCATCAATGTCTGTGAACAATCTATGTTCCTGTAAGCCCTCCCCATTCACAGGCTGTAGTTTCCATTTTTAATGGCGAGTTTCCAGCAAATACAATGAGTTCTTACAAAGGAATTTAACTCTTCATACATTTCAATTCCTAAGGCATGCTAGAGCAATGGTATCAAGTCATAAACAATGTGTTTTCATGTGCCTAACAAACTCACAAACAGGTTAACAGTCACAGAAGGATATCTTCAGACCATTCATTCACTCACTACACAATTATGAAAACAATGTGTTGGATTTGACTGACAATCTCTTGTGATGTTGCATAATATTTTGCCTTAATTAAAATACTTTTCCTTGGGAACTTCATGACAATCTTGGCTAAGTGGTAGTATGAGATGTTTGAGAAACTAATCGAAAAGGATAGAACATTGAATCTGTTTTCAACTAACTTACCAGGACGCAGTTATTAGAGGCATCACTTCCCCAACCACATTCAATGCTGCTTCTTCCCCTCCTCTTACTTCTACTCATCATCTACTCTTCCTTTTCATATCCAGGGGTGTAAGCCTCACTGCTAACATCCTAGACCAGGGCGGGCAAACTTTTTCTGCAAAGACCAGAAATATGGTAAATATGGAACTTTTGAGCAATACAATCTCTGTGACCACTATTCAACTCTGCTGTCGTACCTTGCAACGGACAATACTTTTTAAAAAAATGAGCACAGCTGTGTTCCAATAAAGCTTTATTTATGGATGCTGAAATTTGAATTTCATATCATTCTCATGTGTCACAAAATTCTTTCGACTCTTAGCCAATCATTTAAAAATATAAAAAAGCATTATTAGCTCCCAGGCTGTACAAAAATATGGCTGTAGACAGTCAACCCTGCCCAGACCCTAGACAACATTTCTGAATTAGTGACACTCAGGTGTCCCAGAAACTAGCTTTGGGATATGCTGTGTGTTAAGGGGTCCCTGAAAAAGTCACAGTGCTAGTTAACAAAATGGAGGCGCCCAGAAATCATGCTTCACTTCCTTGAGCTCAGCTAGTCCTTTCCTTTTTTCTAGTATTAAGCTGCAACCGCCGTTTGAAAAACATTGATTTAAATAAAAACACTCATCAAGTCAAGCTTTGGAATCACCTTCCCGAGATGACTAAAATAATAGCTAAGTAGAACAGATGCCCATTGCTCCTGAAACTACTGCAAAAGTCGCAGCATGACTTCAGCTATACCATCAGAAGCCAACTCTTAGGTAACCAGAGAACAGTGATAAATTCACGTCAGTACTCTGGTTCTACATTATTTACATCATATTTGAACTCGCAGACGTGAAAGAAAAACAAAGAGTTCCCGCAGAGTCCCAGCCAACTTCTGCTTAGTACACCACTGTCCACTTCCAATCCTGGTTACTTATTTCAGCCAAGGATAGTTTAAGAGTCAGAGTTTAAGAGTCACCAGTGTTAAAATAGGAACCTAAAAACTAGGTGCTTGAGGAAATTATTTCAAGCTTGGCAACATGAAAACTGGGAAGCCCCTTAATCCCTGCACAACACTGCAGCTCCCGTTATGACAACACGATTACAAAAACCATACAGGAGCATACCTCCAACTGGTCACATCAACACAAAATCAAATTCAATTACATTTAGAATGTCACCCAAAACTAGTTTAAAAATGTACATTTTACCAAGTCAAAACTTTATCAATTTTAACTGGCTTTCTCTAGTCAACTTTTTGTGTTACTATTCAGACCCGTTGAGGCACTTTCAGTCGACTCAAAATCAGTTAGGATGTGATTTTAGGTTGCAGGAAATCATCAAGTTTCCAAAACAGAGGTCAAAAGACACCAGGAAAAACAGGAGAAATAGTATTTCAGAAAATGAAGGTGAATTTGAACCAGCAATTCCAAAACTCCCTTTGTTAACAACCTAACTAATCAAAACTTGAGATAACGTGGACCAACAGCACTAATCAGTGTTACAAACAAATCAACGAATTAAGTTTACAAGTGATCACAATTCTTTCTGAAAAAGTTTGAAGTGAGAGAACATGTTATAGCCCTCCGCTGGTTTACATGCAGGCTCAAGACAATTTTAGCTCTGAGATACAGTACTCTAACTCCCAAACCTAGCTTAACCTTATTAACTCACTCCCTCGACTGAAATTTACTGCTGGTTAGCTACAACTAGTCTGAAACGACCTTATTAGCCAAGTACAGATTCCATTATACCATTTCACTAAAAGACAGACTAAAAACGTCAACCAGCACTAGCTCATTCGTGACGTTGGTTATTTGTCTTTTAAGTAAAGCATATCAGTCAATGAACGCCTTTTCAAGTGAATTAAGAGACAGTTTAAGTGTGGCCACTAAAATTACCTGGTCATTCCTGTGGAAACTCGCTGTAACTCTAAAACAGCATACCCTCAAGTGAGATCAAAGAGTAATCGCAAAAATGGTAGCCTGGGTATCTGAGGGTCACCCTATGGATATCTTTAAGCAGGAGAAAAGAAAACTAAGTCAGGTGCCAACGCACGTTTCCAAATACGGAGGCACCACTTGCCACTGTTGTTCAGCTGACGACGAGGCGTTTAAAGCGAGCTGCGAAAGGGCTTTGTCTAAGTGTGACAACACGACCCAAGGCCCGCACAGAAATCCTCGCACGCTGCACACAAAGGAAACCGACTTCCACTTCGAGCCCGCCACAGCCCAGCCCAGGGCCGTGCCAGGGGCACACAGGGCTTCAAAGCACGGAAAGCACCGGGCGCGCACACGCGGCGGGAAGCCGCCCAGGGACGGTCCCGGGACGCAGGAAATGTCTCGCGACGGACAGCGGCGAAGTCTGAAGTCCTGTGGC